TCCAACTTTTTTAGCAACTTTTACAATTTTGGCCCAATCACCAAAAACTTTACATTTTTGATCCTTTTTGGAAAAGAAAAGTATTTTAACCCTTGAAATAGTTTTGTTTACTCCTTTTTCCCCCTGTTTTGAGAATTGTACCATTTCAGTCCCTTGAAAATCATAATTTCGCAATTTTTGGGCCTATGGGCCGAAAAGCCCAAAAATTAGCCCATTAAGCTACAAATTACCTTTCTAGTCCTTTAAAGAGTATGATATTCATAAAAACATTTATTATTACTATTTTGACTCTTTTAGTCCTTAAGAAAATCGTGAATGACAACTTTCAACTCAACTTTTAGTTGTTTGACAAATTTAGCCCAAAAATGAGCTTTATGTTGCATTTTGTTTATTATGACTTAAGCTAGAAACTTTTCATGACTTGTTCTATAAAAAGTGTATTAGATCATGTTTATTTCCTCTTTTGTGCCATAGATCTCGAGATTTCTTTCCTTTTTTGTTTACATATTCAACACATAAGGACATAAAATCACACATACATACATGAAATCGTACATAGCATACACATACACATAGATCTACACATTTTACTTGTATTCTCCCCCATAAAACTTATGAAAACCGAAAAGAGAGGGGTATGAACTCACATTCTCTAGTTGCTCACGGTTTTGAAGGAAGAAATGAAGAAAATTTGGTCCTAGCAAGCCTTCTTGGAAGATCTTTGGCTTAGATGTGTTCTAAGAGGCATGATCATGAATTTGAATAGATTAAGAGGAGATTTTTGATGAAATGAAGTAATTAGATCATGGATTTAAGCATCAACTTACCTAAGATGATGACTCTTATGGAAAATCCTACTTGAAAAGCTCTTAAATCTCGAAATTTTTGAAGGAGAAGTGAAGGAGTTGTAGTGTGTTCTTGAGAGTGTTTAAGTGAAATAATTATGTGTGTGTGTGTGATACTCTCGGCCGAGAGTAGTAGAAGAAGAAGAGAGAGAGAGAGAGAGATGAAAGGATGTGCATGGAAACATGTGAAATTGCTTGGATATCCCATAGGTATTAAGGAGGTGGCTAATCCTCCTTAATCCTCTAAGTCCTCTTTTTTTTTTTTTTTTTTTTTTTTTTTTTTTTTTTTTACTTGGGCCGAGAGATAGAGAAGAGAGGAGAGAGTTTGGGCCTTGAGTGCTTAAGTCCAAGATATGGGCCCAATATACATCAAAGTATGAGTTTTATGGCCCATTAGGGCTATTTAGATTTGTTATGGCCCAATAAGAGTATTTTATTTCATTCTAGGCCCATTATGGCCCAAAATGTTAAAATAAATGAAAGTGGGTCCAATTAGAGCCCATATAGGAGTTCTAAGCCCAAAATAGTCAAATTGGAAGCTTATTGGTCCATTAGGCCCAATAAGAAAATCCTAATCCAAAATGGACTTAAACCGGGATTTTTAGGGTTTCCAACTTTTGTTGACTATTTGAAAGTTTGTATAGGAATTTTGTTGTCATTGATTTAACACAATACATGTTTTCAAGTTTTAACTACAATGTCACTCTTTGTTAAGTGTTTACAGTGTATCAGAATTCCTAGTTGTGACAAAAAAAGAGTTTCATTACATTACACGTAAACCGTTAATATAGCTTTGTGAGACATTCCTTCACCGTACTTACCACAGTACATACTAAAGTCCATGTATTATAACCAGAGTCTCATGGAGGGAGAATGTGACACTTGTATATAGATCTATACGGAACTGACAATCTCGCACCTAAGTTGTTTGCAACAGCTAGACCGGCAGGTATGGGGTGACAAATGTCGTACCATTCCGACGCCTGAATAACGTCGTAGCAGGCCATCTAGGTCATTAGCATGGTTATAATAACTCACAATTTGGCATTAATAATACGTTTGGTTTACGAGTACATACGCGTCTTCAAATGGTTTTATTTATTTAAAACTACATTACATTATTTCCAAGTACAATAAGTTTACATTTCGGGAAACATACAAAGGGTTTTACACAGATACACTACAGTATCCCGTATATACAGTACAATACAACTTACATATTGGGACAACATACATTCGAATAGTTTTATAAATATACAAAACTACATTAAACTATTTCCCAAATACAACGATATTCATACATTTTCGGTCTTAAGGTATTAAGACTACATTACATACTAAAGAAAATATTGGATTTTCTGGGAGAACATACTACCATTTTCAAGAAACAAAGACTACAGTACATACTAAAGAAAATATTGAATTTTCTGGAAAATTACACTAACATTTACAAGGAACAAAGACACATATTTTCATACAGAGTGCTTATGAACTCACCAACTTAATTGTTGACACTCTATTTTCAAAACCACTTGTATTTTCAGGGAATCAGTAGACAGGTGCCCACACATATTATGGTGAAGACGGAACTTAACATTGTTACGTCTTATATTTTGTTGTATGTCTTTGGAGTCAAACATTGATTCAAATACAATGTAAATATTAAATAATCAATACAATGTTTGAACTACAGTACATACTAAAGAAAATATTGAATTTTCTGGAAAATTACACTAACATTTACAAGGAACAAAGACACATATTTTCATACAGAGTGCTTATGAACTCACCAACTTAATTGTTGACACTCTATTTTCAAAACCACTTGTATTCTCAGGGAATCAGTAGACAGGTACCCACACATATTATGGTGAAGACGGAACTTAACATTGTTACGTCTTATATTTTGTTGTATGCTTTTGGAGTCAAACATTGATTCAAATACAATGTAAATATTAAATAATCAATACAATGTTTGAAATGCTTTGATCTCTATTATGCAATTGTTGTGATACTGTACATGATGTCATCTGCCTCGGACGTTTCCGCCGTTTACTCGGTTTAGGGGTGTGACATATATAATAGGTTGTATTTTTTGTATTTTGCCCTTGTGAAAAATACAAAACTATTATCACAACAAGTATATATTTAACACTAGTATTAATCCATATTTAGGAATTATTATACTAAAAACATTAAAATTATTCTACATATAAAATAATTTGTAACTGTTTTTTTTTTTACAAAATATCATTTGATTAAAAAATATATAAATAGATAGTGAACTATTTGTTTTTTATTTCACAAAATATCATTTAAAATCATTAAAATGGTGATATTTTGTGAGTACAAAGTTACACTTGTTTACCTTTTAGCATTTTTTTAAATAATGATATTTAGTGAAAAATAGTTTATACCCATTTATAACATTAACCTAATTATTATTTTTACTAAAATGCATAAGATGGGATGAAAACAATTATGTGGTATCATGAAAACAATATCAAATTCAGCTATGGACCTAGACTTTGTAATATTCATATGCATTAGCATTAAATAAATAAATAAATAAATAATAAATAATAAAACAAAACATTATTTAACGGTTTGCAGTTATCAACAAATAAGTAATTAATAGTTCGCCTTACATGTTATCTACAAGTGATGATGATCCGTATGTTTACGACAAGTTTATTAACTCTATGTTTTTGTTGAACGAATACACTAAAATGTTGGTCTAAAAAAAAAAAAAGTCATATGCATATATCCTAGACATGAATCCTATTTTACACATAAGCCATTTTTATAACGTTGTCTTTAGATGGGGATCATTTATGTAATTTTGTTATATAGAAACCACTTTAAAAATAAAAATAAAATAGTAGAATAAAAATAGAATAAAATAAACTTACGTAAGTACTATTTTTTGTCATTTATATATATATACATGATGAACAGTTCTTTGCTCTCATTGGCTGAATTTTTTTTCTTTTAAATATTTTTTCATAGATTTTGGGCATAGGAGTGGGTTACAGTAACAATGACGTGTTCTCAATGTTGGGTGCTAGGTGTTATTATCTGCTCCCGCCTCTCATTTCTTCCAATTACATGCTTCCAACAAATCATCTGCCAGATCCTTCCCACCGCCTCCTGTGAATTCCCTCTTTTTACCCTTCTCTTTCCACAGTTAATCCTTCACCGCTTTTCGACATCTCTCTAACTACGACTCTCTATACCTCAAACGAACCGGGTTCCAAACGGTGAGTTGTATCGTGTAGCGACCCCATTTTTTTTGACGGACTTGCAGGATTCCGATGCTGTTTGCAACATCGGCACACTGGTGGTTAGTGAACCAGCTTGGCCGGATTACCATGATCATTCACCTGATGGCTTCCACGTTTTTGGGTAAATTGACTTCCCAATTGAATTTCCACTCTACTCTTGGTCTAACTTCAATAATCGTCTTCATATGATGATTGCTGTAAATTCCAATTTTTTTGTCATGTTATGCTATAACCGGAATGTTAGTGTTTCGGTAGAAGCCTTTTTGTTGATCATCTGCTTTGAAGCTTCAATTTGGAGGTAATTTTTATGGTATTTTCTTTTAATAGATCGTTTGTTTTGTTTAGGGTTTTAGGTATTCCACTGATATTTGTAATTCCTTTCGAGTGTAGACGTTGCCACGTCCGATTCGTTTGCTCTCCACCAGTTTGTTGATTACAATTTTGGTGTTAATCGACTCAAGTATCGATGGTTTTCTAGAAAATAGACAGCGATGGATGGGGGTATCTCTTATTCTTTTTTTTTTTTTTTTTTTGTGAAGACTGAATAACCCTAGAACAGTAGAACTTTTATCTGATTTCATTCTTGTAGACAATTTTTTAGATCATCACAACTGACATATGTTTTTATTCTTCTTTTTGCAATCAACCATCGTCACAAAGCCGGACCTGACTTACCTATAAACTCTCAACTTGTGTGTCATGTTAGAGTTTTTCAAGCAGACGTGGAAAGAATCTAATGTTTTTGATTTGTAACCTGTTTCTGTATGGAATGTCAACTTATTTGTTAAATTTCTGTTGATGAACTGAACTGACCTAAAATCTATAATACTATATCCTTTTTGCCTCCAAAAGACCACCAGTTGACCCTTTAATGGCACAAACAGTTTTATCACCTCCTAAGCCAGAAAAGCCCTCGGGTCCCACAAAATTAAAGGAAGCTTTCAGAAAGAGAAGTGGGGCAGCTGGTGGGACCCGCAGGCGTATGGTTCAAGATGATAGTGTTCATGATGATGAGGTTGATGTTTCAATTCCAGGGGCAAAAAAGGGAAGAAAGTGGAGTAAAGCTATTAGGAAAGCAGCTAGGATGCGGGTAGCTCGGGAAGCCGAACCGGTCAAAGTAGAACTAATGGAAGTTGGTGAAGAAGGTATGTTGATTGATGAGCTGGCGTATAATTTAGCTATGACTGAAGGTGAAATATTAGGGCATCTTTATGCAAAGGGTATTAAGCCTGATGGGGTGCAGAAGCTTGATAAGGAAATGGTGAAGATGGTTTGTAGGGAGTATGAGGTGGAAGTTATTGATGTGGGTCCCATTAAAATATCAGAACAAGCTAAAAAGAAAGAAATTTTTTATGAAGAAGACTTGGATCATTTACAAGATAGACCCCCTGTTCTCACAATCATGGGTCATGTTGATCATGGAAAGGTAATAATAAGTAATGGTTACTGGTTTAAATTGTTTAATTTCCTTGAAAGACTATTTTATTTTTTTTGTTGCTAATATTGTTTTTTTTTTGTATATGACAGACAACCCTTTTGGATTTTATCCGGAAAACCAAGGTACAATTTCATCAAGATTATTTCTTTATGATTAAAGAACGAAAAAGATAGTCTTTGTAACATGAAATGTAAATAAAGATTGGATCTTTATGATTAAAGAACGAAAAAGATAGTCTTTATAACATGTTCTTTTCCAGTTTTGGTTTTGGAGTTGACTAGGACCAATGAACTGGATGCTGATTACAAATATATGTTCTTTCACCTCTAAAATCCAATGACTTATCTGTGTAAAGGGTTTCCGCCACTGTGCAGAACAGGTATGTAAGAAAACAGTTATGATATTTGCTTATCATGTCTTCTCTTATAATTCATAAGTAGATCCAATTCCAAACCAGAAGGAACAATACTAAAGTCATCCATTATGTATATATATATAGCTCAAGCAAGGTAAGAATTATATATATATATATATATATATATATATATATATATATATATATATATATATATATATATATATATATATATGTGTGTGTGTGTGTGTGTGTGTGAAAGTGAGTTTTTATGGATCTTTTACAGGCGGATAAAGCGTCCATGTTGGATGATATTATAGAGTACGTCAAGCAATTGCAAGCACATGTTCATATGATGAGTAAAATGAACATGTCATCCATGATGACGCCATTAGCCATGCAACAACAACAAATGCAGATGGCCATGATGAATTCAATGGGCATGGGGATGGGTATGGGAATGGGAGGCATGATGGATATGAACACTTACAGGTCTCTCCACTCCACTCCAATTCCATGCACCACATTATATATAGATATATACTGAATTTTATTTTTGCATCTTTGGTGGACCACAGTGGTCTTGTACCTGCAACGGCTGGTATCAGTCATGTTGCCATCCAGTTTCCAGCATATGAGAAGATTAAAGGCTATCTAGCTAGAAGAGGTCTGAAATAAAAAAAAATCACAAAAGGTTATTTATTATTCATGTATATAATAATCTTAAGATTGGTATGATGATGATGACGATAATGGGCATGGCACAGATAATATAGAGGTGGATCAACTTGGTGCACGTGATGTTGCTGTGGCCTCTTCAGTTTCTAAAGTATTTGCATCTACTCTCACATATCCACATGAGGTAGGATGGGTCCGGATGATGTTATTCTATTTATTTATGGTTGGTTTGTAAAGTATGAAGTTATTATTGGAGAAACGTTGTCATTGAAAGAGCTTTTTAACCTTTCATAAACTGAAAAAATAATGTTACCTGTTAATTTTAAATTGAATTGCTAATTTGTTTAAAATTTTGTTGACTTTTACAGCTTAACTGTAATTTCATGTTGGATTGTACGATTTGAGATATGTGCTAGGAAGAGAAGGGCATCATAGCTGGGTATGGAAGATAATAACTTTGCTGTTGACATACACTTCAACATGGCTCCAAACAAAGAGTCCAAGGGCAATTTTGGAAACACCAATATTGTTCCTGTTTTGTCCATTCCTATGGCTTATCCAACCCCGCAAAGCGGGGAATCTTCCCTAGTTTTGTCTATTTGAAAATACATGACAAAAAATATTGTTCACTCAAAACAAATAAAAAATAAAGAATAACATTGTACCATGGATTTGACCCAACTTACTAACAAAATAAAAAATAAAAAACTGGGAAATTGAGTGAGTTAATCATTTTTTGGTGTATTTTTTTTTAAATAACAATTTTAAATATATTTTGCAAAATAATTATAGTTTTCAGAATAGGCTATTTCAGACTGTATACCTGAGCCACTTCGGAATAGATCAATGATGGAATGACGGCAAGATCGGCATAGTACCGTGAGCATATCGTTTTATTGGTTAGAAGGTGTCACAATGTATCGTGAACCAGCGGTTGTATGATTCATATGGGTGGGACACGGTATGTAACGTCACAAAAGTTATAAGGTAAAAATTTCATTTTTAGTTCAACCATAAACACTGTTTAATCATTTCAATCATTCAAAAGTATATCAGGTTAAAATAGTTATCATAGTACAAAATCTCAAAATCATATAATATGGAAAACATGGACGGATACGGTGCGATCAAGCCGGAACCTTCTTTTTCGAGCTGAAAGTATCTAAAACATAAACTGAAAACCGTAAGCACAAAGCTTAGTAAGCCTCCCCCCAAAATACCACATATCATACATACATAACAGTCAAAATGAAATATCCCAAAAATATGACCCAAAAATTTTCGTTTTCAAATCATTACTAAAATCATAAACCATCCAAAACCATAAGTAAAACATAAATCATGTTTCATAAAACATCACAGTATCTGTCTCAAATCAAAATCTCATAGTAAAACATCAGAGTAAACTCCAAGGCTGTGACTGTGGTGTGTGCCATGCGATCATCCCGAGCCCTTTCCCTTGCTAGTGGAAGTACTTGAAACCAAAACTAAAAACCGTAAGCACGAAGCTTAGTGAGTTCCCCAAACTACCACATACCATACACATATATCATGCAACTAAGAGATACGGGCCCCGCCCACACTCAGCTACTTCGAGATACGGGCCCCGCCCACACTCGGCTACTATGAGATACGGGCCCCGCCCACACTCATCTACTGCGAGATACGGGCCTCGCCGACACTCAACCACTAATCCAACATACAAGTATCACACATACAACAAGTATAACTAATTCTAACAGCCAGACATATATCCATAATCAAACTGTACTGCGAGATACGGGCCCCGCCCACACTCAGCTACTAACATTTCATTCTACGGGCGGCCTTGGTGCCTTAGACCCGTTCCTACTGAAAGGAAACTCACCTCGTATGACTGAGTGCTGAAAAACTGGGTGAGGGATCCCTATCTGCTGCTCCGGCGACTCTCCGGCTATAAATTCCATAACAACACTTAATCAAAAACTGATAATCCTTCTTAGGGTAAAATGACCATTTTACCCTTGGTCAAAGTCAATGTCCTGACCAAAGTCAACCTTCTGGGTTGACTTACTCGTCGAGTCATCATATTGACTCGTCGAGTTCTAGAACTCAGAAACCCTAAGATTCACGACCCGACTCGCCGAGTTACCCTGTGGCTCACCGAGTTTCCAAGCTAATCGACATCGCGACTAGACGAACTGACTCGTCGAGTCGTCCTTTGACTCGCCGAGTCCTAGCGTAATCAGAAAAGGGACATATCAACTCTAACTCGCCGAGTCCCTTTGTAGACTCATCGAGTTCTTCAACTTTCGTGTCCAAGTCCTGTTCCACCCACTGAGTCACCACCTCCACTCACTGGTCCTACTCCAAATCAGAAAAGGAGTTAGGGTTCACGACCCGACTCGCCGAGTCCGAGAACAACTCGTCGAGTCCTCCTTGTGACATATCCATTCATTCAATGCTAATCCATTTCAATGCTTCTAACTCATAAATCTGGACTCCTTAGACTAGCATTACACGTAAAGTTGCTAACTTTACGTTCATGCATGATGTTATGAAGCTAAAACACTCATTCCAAGCCAAAAATGAAGGTCTATAATATGTCATGGAGTCATGGTTGAATAAAGGTGACAACTTTGGGCTTCTAAAGCTCAGAAATGTCCAGATCTGAAGTCCTTTCCTCCCCCAAGGTTCAAATCTCGGAATGACCTTGGAAAGGACCCAACAAGTGCAAATATCAAGTCTATAAGGAGATCTAAATGGGTAGAAGCCAAGGTATTAGCTTTATACCTTTAATAAGACTGAGATGACCCAATAACTCTAGATCTTCTGCCCTCCTTTGTTGTACTCACTCTTTGCCTTCCTCTTCCTAGCTTCAACCACACAAATGTAAGGAAAAATGGCTCAAGAATGCACAATATTGATTAGGGTTTTGAGAGTAGGCTGTGAAGGTGATGGGGGATGGGGTGAAGACCCATAATGTTGTTTAAATAGGGTGCAAATCCTAAGGATTAGGGTTTCCTCCTGATGGACCTACTCGCCGAGTCTATTCCTGACTCGTCGAGTAGTCCACTTAAACCCCGCGATTAAACTGGCATCTACTCGACGAGTTAGGGCTACCAACTCGTCGAGTAGCTCTTATAAAATGAGCATTTAATGAACTAAATACGTACCGGGAACAGGGCGTTACACAAAACATAATTGGGTCTATTTCAACTCATTCGGTCTCTTTCAATCGGTACTGGGTCTATTTCAACCCATTCTGTCTCTTTCAACCGGTATTGGGTATATTTCAACCCCTTCGGTCTCTTTCAACCGGTATTGGGTATATTTAAACCCCTTCGGTCTCTTTCAACCGATATCGGGTCTATTTCACCCATACAGCTAGCATATAATCATCAAAGTAAGAGTCACAAAGACATCAAGCATATATATGCATAACAGGTAATTGTCACGAAGATAATCATCATCCTACAAACAGAATCTAGTGGGTCGACATTGGTGCCTTCAACCCACAGATATAGTGAAGGAAACTCACCTCAGTCTGTTGACAATCCAACAGATGCTCGAGCTTGTAACATCTGGATTTCCAGGCATCATAAATTGAGTATTTATTTTTGAGTCAAGGAGAGGGACTCGACGAGTTGACGCCTAGACTCGTCGAGTAGGATCGCGACTGCTGACTAGGATTAATGAATAGACTCGACGAGTCGGTGAGTCGACTCGACGAGTCCGCGTTGTGGACAGAAACCCTAAATCTTTGGGTCTGTGCCCTATTTAAGGGTCCTTATGGCCTTCATTTGCGGCCACTCATACCCTGGAGAAACCCTAGCGAGCCAGAGAGCTTAAAGAGAGAAAGAGGGCTAATTTCACCACCATAGTGCAGTCTTGAAAGGAAGGAAGGAAGATTCAAGCTAGGCTGCTTAGAGGGGGCTCAGAACTTCTTCTATTATTTCAAGGTCTTCTGTTTGAGGTATGAATCCATGCCTATTTTCGTGTATATAGTAGATTTATGGAATCTAGGGTTTCTTTACCCTTTCTTTAGTTGGATTATGGAGCATGTGAAGTCACATTGAGGAATAGAGTTTAGATATGGACCTTGAGAGGTCCAGAGTGTCCCAACAACCAAGCTTTATGATGTTACATGAGAGTATTGAGCCTAGGACTCCATTTTTAGAGCTATTTCTTCAAATAGAGCTATATGTGCGATGCATCAACGTAAAGTTCAGACCTTTACGTGACTTTTGGGTGTTAGAAGGTCAGATCTGTAGGTTAGAGAAACAGATCTGACCTCAGAAGGTCGTTTGAGCATTTTCATGGTAGAAACTCGCCGAGTCCATGAGCGGACTCGACGAGTCGGATCGTGTGCACCACGATTCGTGATCAGTGGTAACCCATCGAGAGAAAGGTAACTCGACGAGTCGAGTGAGGCCTTAGGAGGATTCAGAGGACAGGCATGGACTCGCCGAGTCACCCGAGTGCATTCGACGAGTCTGGTCAAAGTTGGACCGTTGACTGGGGTTGACTTTTAGGGTTTGGTCAACATTTGGACATTGGACCATTGGAGGGGTAAAATGGTCTTTTTACCTTCTGAGAGAATATAGGGAGGGACTAGTCTAGCCTTTGAGAGCCGTATTAATTAGAGATAATTACTTTATGTGATTAGGCGGAGGCTAGATCAGATATTCGAGTTCGAGACTTTCCGAGATTACCCGAGGTGAGTCTTCTCACTATACATTACCAAGAGTGGTAACTATGTGCAGACCGGAGGGTCTTATGTGTTATGTGTATGTTGAGTTTATGTGCATTGTGATATATGTATGCTATGTGTTATATAGACCGGACCGGAGGGTCCTACGATTTAGACCGGACCAGAGGGTGATTGGAGGAGACCGAGGCACCGAAGGCTCGCGGGAGAGCCTTTCAGTGGTATGCATAGGTACTTTTCTTATGAGTTTTGTACCTGCTTTGGTGTTATTTGATTCGGGTGCGAGTCGATCTTTCGTGTCATTAGCGTTTAGCCAGCACATCAGTACCCGACGAGAGGCGTTGAGTCGACCTCTACGAGTTTCTATAGCTGACGAGCGAGCGGTTTATGTTACTGATGTGATTCGAGGATGTGTACTCGAGATTTTCGGTGTTGAGTTCCCGATAGATCTGGTACCGATTGCGATGGGTGATGTCTGTGTCATCGTGGGCATGGACTGGTTGAGCCGATTTGGAGCTGTTATAGACTGCGAGCGGCAGTTGGTGACCATACGAGACCCTAGTGGGGGAGTACTTACGGTGTATGGTGAGGGTACCCGGTCTGGGTCAGCATTTTGTTCGGCTGCCAAAGCGAGACAGAGTCTACAGCAGGGCTGTAGAGGGTTTGTAGCCTATGTGATGGATACACGAGTCGCCGTAGAGAGGCCGAGTTCTG